CTTGCGATCTGCGCAACTGTCGCCACTTTCGTGGGCTCCTGGGAGGCCTAGCGGAGGTGGGTCCCACGCGGACCACCTCTGGACCTCGCCGCTCCCTTGTGGGCTTGCAATCTGCGCAACCGTCGCCACTTTCGTACGCTCCTGGGGGGCCCAGCGGAGGTGGGTCACACGCGGACCACCTCGGGACCTTGCCGCCCCTTGGGGGGCGTGCGATCTGCGCAACTGTCGCCACTTTCGTCCTGGGAGGCCCAGCGGAGGTACGTCCCACGCGGATCACCTCGCGACCTCGCCGCCCCCTGGGGGGCTTGCGATCTGCGCAACTGTCGCCACTTTCGTGGGCTCCTGGGAGGCCCAGCGGAGGTACGTCCCACGCGGATCACCTCGGGACCTCGCCGCTCCCTGGGGGGCTTGCGATCTGCGCAACGTCGCCACTTTCGTGGGCTCCTGGGAGGCCCAGCGGAGGTACGTCCCACGCGGATCACCTCGCGACCTCGCCGCCCCCTGGGGGGCTTGCGATCTGCGCAACTGTCGCCACTTTCGCGGGCTCCTGGGAGGCCCAGCCGAGGTACGTCCCAGGCGGACCACCTCGAGACCTCGCCGCCTCCTGGGGGCTTGCGATCTGCGCAACTGTCGCAGCTTTCGTGGGCCAGCGGAGGTACGTCATACGCGGACCACCTCGCGACCTCGCCGCCCCCTGGGGGGCTTGCGATCTGCGCAACTGTCGGCACTTTCGCGGGCTCCTGGGAGGCCCAACGGAGGTAAGCCATATGCGGACCACCTCGGGACCTCGCCGCCCCCTGGGGGGCTTGCAATCTGCGCAACCGTCGCCACTTTCGTGGGCTCCTGCGTCCACTTCTGCGTGCTCCTGCTTATTCTCGCGACCGCGACCTTTTGATTCCACTTTTGGTTGCTTCTTTTTGGGTTCGCTGCCGCGCCCTTTCTGTCTCCACTTCTGGATGAGTCTCCACCCCCGGTTTGCACCTCATGCATTTGCCCCGCTCAACCCAGCGCTCTGCTGAATTAAACTGACGTTCTGCTTTAGCCCTCGCCGCCGCGCCCTTTTGCGTTCATTTTTTGGGCGCGTTTCTTTCAACGCCCCTGTGGTTCCATGTTGTATATGTGCCATTTCTCTTCCTGCTGCGCTCTTCTGAAATCACTGTTGGGTGCTCTTCTTACGTACTGCGGGTCCTTCAAAATGCCAGTCAGCATTGGGTGGTCCTGAGTATAATCGCCACATGGAAAAGGGTTGGGTACGTCACAAGGTAAAATTCGGGCAATCGGTTTTGAACTCCTTACAAAACCAAAAGCGTCTGAAAGATGTCGGCATGCGCGCGCGACGACGCGCGCACGCACTTCGCTACACATGTTGCAAGGGATTCTTGAAAATTACGGACTTGTGATAAACGAGTGCGCGCGCATAGTATTTGTTGCAGAGGATGGCGGGGGGGGTGATACCTGTTGGGCCAGGTTGGTGCGAGCTCATAATGGACGATGGGACAGATTCCTGCGTAAATTGCTAGACGGAAAAAAAGGGCCGCTTATCCCGGCCCGAGAGAGGCGGTGGATCCCAGTCTCATTTAGAAGGGAGTATTCACTTATGGAACTCGCAATTGTCAGCTCCACTGCTCGCGCAATCATCCCACCCACCCACCCGCAACTTGTTCTGCGAGACACATTCGGCGGCGATGGTGATGAATGATCGGCGTTGGCTGGTGCATCTCTGCGGCCGCGCAAGCCCGAGCATGCTCGCGCGCGCAGCGGCCATCTAGTCTGGCGCGACCGACGCGGCCACGGTGGCGCTGACCGCCGGGCACATCCCAGCGAGCGCTTCAAGGCAAGTCGGCGACCTGGGCGGGCGCGGCATGATGGCAACGTCGACAACGGTAGACGCGATTACGAAAGTGGCGATGCTGGTAGATATAATGACAACGGCGACGGCACGGCCAGCGACCGCGCCGATGCTGATCACGCCGACGACGATGACGGCGTCCTCGCGTCGGCGATGAAGGTTCCGGAAGAAGTTCGGCACGCGCGCGCGGCCAACGCGCGAGAGTGGCCCGTGTGGTACGATTTGACACGGATCGTGCCTCCCAGCACGCGCGCAAGGGCGTTCTAATGATATCGGCCGGCGCGAAAGGCCTGTTTGGCAGAATGTAATGAAAACGGTGAAGAACCGATCGCTTTCTTCAGAAATTCGCCAGAGCGCGAGCGCAGGCTTTTTTGAAAACTATGTTTGCAAAACCGTGTCATGCGTCATACGTTTTCGGGCCACTCGATTTTGAAAACCTCGCGAAAGCTAAGGTGTTTGAAAAATTCCGTCACGCGCGCGACGACACACGCGCGCGCACTTCGCCGCATCTGTCGCAAGGGTTTTTGCGACAGCACGCGCGCTAACGCGTTCGAGCGATTTCGACGCGCGCGCACGAAAGGCCCATGTGGTAGCATAGTATGTAAATCTAAAACAACCGAATGTTTCAATAAATGCGCAAGAGCGCGGGCGCAAACCTGTGTTGAACATCCCCGTTGCGAACCCATGTGCATGTTCATGTTTTCGGGGCGCCGGATTTTGAAATCCTCCCGAAAACTAAAGTTTCCGACAGATTCCGGTGTGCTCGCGCGACGACGCGCGCGCGTGCACTTCGCCAGCTTATTCTTGCAAGGGGCTCCTGGAAACTTTGACTGTTGATATGCGAATGCGCGCGCATACCTTTTTGCAGAGGATGAAGGGGGAACCGTTACTGGCCTGGCTGGGATAGTGCGAACTCATATCTAGGACGGACGATGTGGCATAATCGCATGTAAATTGCGATACGACAAGGGGGCGGTTAAATCCTGGGGAGGGGGGGAAGATCCTAATCCCTTTTTAGAAAAGACAATTGATACCACAGACGAACCCAATCATAATCTTTTCCGGGCTGTAGGGCTATGGGGCTATAGGGCTATAGGGCTACAGGGCTATCAGGATATAGGTCTATAGGGCCATACGGCTATGGATTTATAGGGCTATAGGGCTATAAGGCTATACGGCTATACGGCTATAGGGCTATTGGGCTATTGGGCTATAGGGCTAGTGGGCTATAGGGCTGTAGGGCTATTAGGCCACGATGGGCTATAGAGCTATAGGGCTATTAGGGCTATACGGCTATAGGGCTATAGGGCTATAGGGCTACAGTCCAAGAAGAAATATTTGAAAATGAATTTCGCGTTCGCGTGGGGGCCATGTTCTTCGCGGCGTCGCCATTAGGGTCGCAATGGTACTGAATGCCTTGCGCGAAAGCGCGATGCCCAAATCCAGTCCAATTTTGAAACCCCTTGAAACGCGCGGCTGCGTTCGGCTCTGAGGGTTTCGTGGCAATCGCGCGGATGTATTCGGCGCCAAGGGTTTCGTGTCTTTGTGAGACGATTTGAGCCGCGCAGATGCGTTAGGCGCCGAGTGTCTCCTGGCATTGTGAGACCCTTCGAAACCCGCGAATGCGTTCGGCTCTGAAGGTTTGGTGGCACTGTGAGACCATATGAGTCTTGTGGATGTGCTCGGCGCCGAAGGTTTCGGGGCATTCTGGGACCCTTTGAAACGCGCGAATGCGTTCGGCGCCGAGGGTTTCGCGGCACTGTGAGACCATGTGTGACTCGCGGATGGGCTCGGCGCCGAAGGTTTCGGGGCGATTTGAAAGCCTTGAAGACGCGCGACTGCGTTCGGCACTGAGGGTTGTGGCACTGTGAGACCATGTGAGACTCGCGGATGGGCTCGGCGCCGAAGGTTTCGGGGCGATCTGAAAGCCTTGAAGACGCGCGACTGCGTTCGGCGCTAAGGGTTTCGTGGCACTGTGAGACAATGTGAGACTCGCGGATGTGCCCGGCGCCGAGGGTTTCGTGGCGATTTGAAAGCCTTTGAGACGCGCGACTGCGTTCGGCGCCGAGGGTTGTGTGGCTCTTTGAAACCATGCGAGACTCGCGGATGTGCTCGGCGCCGAAGGTTTCGGGGCACTTTGAGACCTTGTGAGGCTCTTTGAGACCGCTTTGAGACCGCCATCGGACGCAACCGGTGTCTGAATTTATACCATGTCGTGCAGATGTTGAAACTCATCCGACTCTCGTTTTTCATGATACTAAACTAGGAGTCGGATAGTCTCAAGGCGGTTCGAGCGCGGACGGGGCCGCCGCCGAGCGGATGGGAACGCCGCCCAGGCGCGATCCAAGCGGTGCAGAATTTTAGTCAACCTTTTGGCCCACGTCGGCTCGACGTGCGTGCAGCGCCAATTGTGACTGATGTGAGTTGCCGTTGATATGTGATGTGTGCTCAAATTCTTCCATGCGAAACGCGGAGCATGTCGTTTCCAACTTGTTTCTCCGACTGTATAAGGCTTAAGGGCTATGGGGCTATGAGGCTATAAGGCTATAAGGCTATAGGGCTATAGGGCTGTAGGGCTACAGGGCTATAGGGCTATTCGGGCTACAGGGCTATAGGGCTATAAGGCTTTGGGGCTATTGGGTAATAGGGCTATAAGGCTGTAAGGCACTCCAGGGCACCCAGGCACCCGGGCACCAGGGCCGGCCACCGAAATCGGCGACGTAGGTCACCTACACATATGAATCTGCTAGGAGCCTCCAGACCGCCTGACAGACCCAGATGACGGGCGGCGACGAGGCGGCGACGGGGCGACGACGGCGGCAACATAGCCGCCAGACCGCCTGACAGCCCCAGACGACGGGCGGCGACGAAGCGGCGACTGGGCGGCGACGGGGCGGCGACGGCGACAACATAACCGCCAGACGGCCAGAATGGCCCTAGTAGAGGAGAAATCAGAGCCCATTGGTGCAGGCACTGTTTGGGGAACATCGCCAAAGATCACGACCGGATGCCGAGATCCCATTTTTTCTGTGGCAGTTTTCAAAACCGATCCACCCGTGAGGGCCCCGGGGCCCAAAAGCCGGGCGCAAACGCCCAGTGCCGAAAAGGTGCTCGCGCCCCTTCTGCACCAGAAATGGGGCCACGGGGAGTCCTTGGCGGGATGCAGCCCGCGGAGCGAGCTGTCGTCGAGGCGGCCGTCGTCCGACGACTCGGCGGTGGTCGTCCTCGGAGGCGGGGCAGGGGGGGACAGAGGCAGGGGAGTACGATGCACCTGTCTTCGCGTGCCCCACCTCGGCTCACTGTCGCAGAACTGCTGCGGATCCAGCACGGATCTTTCTCGCCTGGAGGTGAAGAGGATGTTGAGGCTGGTGGTGGCCGTCCTACCGAGCAGTCCACTGCGTCTCCGAGCTCGGTGTGGCCACGCTCTGCTGGCTCTCGCCGAGCGTGCGCGCGAGCGCCTTCCTCCAGGCTTGTCGCTCGATCGCCTGCACGTGGGCACGCGTGCGGGCGCCCTGACGCTGCGGGCGGAATGTGGCCCCGATAGCATGCCTAAGAAAATAAACGGATGCTCGGAGCAACCGGCAAGACGCGGGATCTTGCTGACGACGTGGCTCCCCCGAGATCTGGACCCCTTCCTTGAAACCGGTTTCTCACCCCGAGTCGTTCCGATGACGCACCCTGGGCCCGGCGAGGGGCCCAAGGAGGCCGAAACTTTGCAAAAGCCCTTCGTCACGATTTGTTCACAACGAAAGGATGTCAGTGGAAGGGGAACAGGAGGAGGAAGGACACTGGACAGCACGGGGGAAGAAGCGGACTATGGAGGGGCATAGGCAAAGGAAGCCCGCTGCTCCCGCCAATGGGCAGCGGGCATATCTTGTCCGTTCGAGATCGCGCTGGTCGATGCCGCGCGCTGACGCCGGGCACCCGTCGCCAGATGCGTCGGTAGGGCTGGGCAGAGGCGGGTGGCCTCAGCGAGACGCGGCACGACACAGGAAACCGCACGCTGGCGCATGCCGGCGGGTCATCACACATCACGTCACCACACGGGTGGCACACCGCACTGGCAAAAACCAGCGAACTGGATCGTGGAATCCCCAGGAGGAGGAAAGATAGGGACGAGTGGGGGCGCAGGCAAGCCAAGTGCGCTCGCGCCACATCTGACATCCGACCTTTCCCTCCTATGTATCCCCATTGCGTTGATCAGCTCCCTTTCCGCGGACGCGTGTCATAGTCGATTTGGGCGTCAAACCATATATCGTGTTATGCGCAGTCGAAAGGAACCGGAGGAGGAGGAGGACAGAGGAATATAAGAAAGAGGAGGAGAAGGAGGAGGAGACGCCCGAAGGTGGAGGAGACGATCGCGCGTTCGCGGGGCGTGAACCACTCGACCCCACCGTCAGGGGCAAGCGCGCCCGCTGCAGGCAAGGAAACTACTGAAATGGATGTAAAGGCGGATGTGAGGGATGGGATCTTCCCGTAGAACGGTGAAAGCGAGTCTAATGGCGGGCGCGACAAGAAGTTTCCTGCAAACTGCGGCGGAAGCAGGAAGGCAGTGGGGATGAGACAAGCAGAACTACCGTTCGAGTCCGGTGCTCAAACGAGTCCGTCGTGCCGTGGACGGTCTCCCATGTGAAAACCGAGCAGGAAGCCACGACGCGAAAATCTGAACTGCTGCTGGGGTGTTCTACTGACCGCACCCGTGAAACTTGCCTGCAAACACAGCGCGACAGTCGGCTGGTGGAGCACAGGGAAATGCGTGCTGTTGCTCAGCTGACACAGCCAGCTGGCGCAGTACTCTGTAGAGTACTAAATTTCCTTGTGCCTCTCGCCCGTCGGCGCCCGCAGAATTTGACGATCTCGCGGCTGCTTGGCGGGCCGGCCCGTGCATCGGTGAGTGGAAGAGTTATGGTGGTCGACCTTGTGAAACAGTCACTCGAGTAGACTCTTCACTGCTGCGCGAAGGAACTGCGCTGGGAGCTCGAGGTGGCCTTCCACCTCTTCTCGTCGCTGAACTTGACCGCATCGTGGTCATACCTGATCTGGCCAGACATCACGAAAAGGATGAGCCCCTGGCCCATGCTGCCCTCGGTCACGGGGTCGGCCCGCATGTCCCGAGTATCGTACAAGAGCAGGTCCTCGATTTGATCGGTGCGCAGCTGGTCGGCTAACCACCACAGGTGGCCTGTCATGCTGTCTAGGACGGCGGCCGCACCGGGTCCACGAGCAGTGCGCTGGAGACGGACACGTCGTCGATGACGGGACCCGCAGGGATCGCGCAACGCCCTTCCCCCCTAAGCCCCCCGATCTCCTCGGCAGAAGCGGGGCCGCGCATCATCTCGCGCAACGCGAGGAGGCGCGCCTGCAATATGTCGGCTGCGCCGCACGCTGCGAGCAGCTCCGAGCTAAAAGAGGACTTGCACACTAGCTTTCGCCACTGGCTCACCGCGCCCAGCAAGATGCGCACCTGTTTGCCCGCGCGGTGGCACTTGCTGAGACGCATGTATACGGCTCCTGCCACGCTGTACTCTGTCCCCCCCTCCCTCTTGAACGACCCGTCGCCGCGCGCGCTGAGTCGCCTGGCGAACTCCATGGCTGGAAATGCGACGCGTGACGCGTGCCTTTTTAAAAAAATCCTGCGCGCGGCCAGAACAACTGAGTTAAGCTGCATCGCGCGTCGAACGAACAGCTTGCCCCTGGCCCTTTGCAGGGGGGCGATGCACGCGGCCACGCGGCGCCGAGCGAGCAGGGCGCAGGCCGCAGCTCCCAGGAAGGAGACGCAGAGGTCTGGAAGCTGACCACTGGCCAGCTCGTCGGCCTCTGCCGTGGCCAGGTCGACGTGCCTGATCAGCATCGGAGCATCGATGTACTCGCCCTGGTCGGGCGCCACGGCACCATCAGAATTGCGGTGCTGGTCCACTCCGATCTTCGCGGTCCACTTTGATTTGGCCGAAGGCGCGCTCGACGCGGCTAATCAACCGGTCGACGTGCCCCCTGCGTCCAGCGATCTGAGGATCGTCAACGCCGTTGGGCGACATTAGCAATGGCACTGAGTCGCCGGTGCCACGGGCGCAGGACGTCTCACGCATGACATCAAACCCCGGGCCCCGCCAGGCGGGTTTGGCGCCGCGCTCCGGCGAGCGCGCGGCCCAGGCGACCTTCGTGGAGGAGGGTCGGGGCGCGCCCTAGCGGCCCGCGCCCGGATTGATGCAGCAATAGCAGTCAGTCTGCTCGTCGTTGCTCTCGTGGCCAGGCACCCACCAGAGGATGGCTGCACTGCCTGGCGGCAAGGTGAAATCTACCTCGGGGCGCTCGCCTTGTTCCTGCATATCGGCGCAGGTCGCGCCTCGCAGGGGCGCCCTCTAAGCGCCCGCGGCGACGCGCGCCCAGTCTGGGCGACGCGCTGCCCCCTGGGACAGCAGGCGCCGCGACGCCCGCTTCGCTGCACCAGCGAACGTTTCCAGGACTCAGGCGCCCATGTCGCGGAAGCCCCTCAGCGCCATGCGGCGCCGGATGATTTGGACAGTCTTGCCGTCGACCCCTCCCGGCACTTCCCCGAGAACCCGTGAAGACGCGCCTGGAGCCCGCCCCGTTCCGGGCGCCCGGGGCAGTCGCCTCTCGAAGAATTTGCACTTGAAGCAGATGGCGAGGTCATCGAGGATGGCCGCTGCGATCTCCCTTGACAGCCTCGGAGCTTCCTCGTTGGTCAGAAGGTCGGCGCCGCGCTCGGAGACCGCGGCCCCAATGGCTGCATGGATGATAAGCACGTTTGTCCGGGCAGCGCTGGCGGTGGAGTCACCAAACGATTCCTTGTCAAAGCTCAAGCATGCTTCACGCATCCCTGGCTCAAGACGCAACTCCGCACGCCATCCCCGGACGCCCTTCTTGCCCAGCGGACGCCTCAGTCGGCGACGTGAGTCCACCATGCCCTGGGCGAGTCGCTCGGCAATCTTCCATGGACGAATCTGAGAACCGAGGCTCTCGTGACCCTCGACGTGAACATGGGCGCGCTCGCCTGGAAATCCGAGTTTCGTGAACTGCTCGAGGACGGATCTCGGGAGCATTGGAGATAGGCCCGGCGATCTCCTTCGAGATGCCTGCGCGACGATCTCTAAGTCAAAGCTGACATAGGTCATAGATGACCTCGCCCACGCCCGGCGCTAACTGCACCACTGGCCATGACGGCTCGACGCGCAGCCACGATGGTTCAGTCTGCTCGTTGGCGAAGTAGCCGCATCATTCGAGCAGCAGCCGCGCCAGGTAGCCGCAGAATCGGCCATGGGGGGCCGCGTCCTCGTAGGAAAGCAGCCAGGCGAAGCAGATCCGCAAGCAGTTGAACGTTGCCCAAAGGTCGAAGGGCCGGCAGGGCGGAGCTACGATGGCAACTAGTGGCCGATGTTGCCGAACATGTCATTCCACGGCGCTCTGCTGGCTCTCGTCGTTGCGGCCGCGGCCAGTGACCATGTCGAAGTTATCGCCAACTCTAACAAGGCGGCGGATAGCCAGTCTGCTAGTCCGCGCTTCTTGACCGCAAACCTCGATATTGTCGCCACCTTAATAATGGAACGAAATGAAGTGGGTGAGGAGCTGGTGGGTGGCGTCGAGCTCGGTGGACTGGTGTTTGAGCACGGGCCGCTTGGCGGTGGCTCGATGAGCATCAAACCATTGTTGCGGGGCCCAGAATAGATGCGACTTCGGTTTCTTCACAGGAACATGTTGGTCCCAAGCCATGGTCTTGAAATGCTATTAAAGACCCCTCGGACGTCGCGCTGCCTCCTTCAGGCACGTCATGCCAGCGTGTCCACGGCCTCCCGATCCACGGGACGACAGAGGAAGGTTGGCAACGACCGCGATCTCGGCATGTTTGACGACGCACTCCAGGATGAGCCAGGCGATTCGGCGGCACTGCTCGACCACGTAAGTCCGCGGGCTGGCGTTCGAAATAATCACTTTGATACTGCCGCGGAAGTCGGGGCCCACCACGCCGCCCGCGACGTCGACCACTTCGAGGGCGAGTCCGGAGCGAAGGTCAACATGGAGGCAAGGGCCCTGCGGCGCCAAGGCCGCCACGCCCGACCACACCGCGTCGCGACCGCAGGCCCCAACGTCGACGTCCGCGCGGGCGTGGGTCTTAGCCCGCGGCCCAGGGCGCGCTCCGCGAGGGCGCATGCATTGGGGCTAACGAGCTGGATCTTCAGCTTCTTGAACTCGCGGCCGTCGGTGGCAA